GGAATGAGGGCTGGCAACATTAAAACCTTTTTAAATATCTTGAAAGCCAGGGATGGACCCATCAGTTTTCCTTAGGTAGAACTATACACATTATATGAAGTTTTTAATAACTTCTCTTAACTAAAGTTTTCTGTCTTAGGGCATAAATGTCCACGACTAATACCTCATGCACCCATGTTTATTTCTCACTTACAGAGGTAAAAGACAGGCCTTGCTTTGGCCTTATGGATCCACCTGACTCCTACAGCTACTTTCACTCAAAGTAGCTCCACTGAACGTTTACTGACAAGGTGCAAGGAAGGGAGAGTACAGAAGGATGCAATTGCTTAAATCTGGTCTGGCTATGCAGGGCTGGGGGTGTGGCTCAGTGGTAAGGCACTTGCCTGGATTGGATTCCAGGCACAGCAAAAATAAATAAATAAATACATAAATGAATATATAATAAATTTTAAAATAAAAATAAATCCATTCTCTCCAACACCAACATAGCCACCTGTGCCTACTGGGCATCAAATGTGGCTCATAGGAATTGAGACCTATAGGAAGAAATATATTTACATATTTATTATACAAATAGATCCAAGTATGTATACATATTTATATTTCAGAGTTTGCAGGTAATACAACCTTTGTTGCAAGTACTCAACTTTGCCATTGCAGCATGAAAGCAGCTGGGACAATATGGAAATAAACTAGAGAGGTTGTATACCAATAAAGCTGTATTTACAAAAACAAGCAACTGCCATATGGGCTATAATTTGCTAACCTCTAGCTGGTCTAGATTTTACAGTTTGGGAATTTTTAAAATATTAGGTTGAGTCTGGGTATAGGTTGTTGGTGCTGTATTCACCTACCAAGTCCAATCCTCAGCACAGCAAGGAAATAAAAATAAAAATCGAGATGAGTGCAAAACTCAGGATTAAGATTGGTATGCAAATTCGTAGAATCACATGCCTGCTGCTCCCACTTCTTCACTTATGAGTAACTAACACGCAATACCTCACTACCATAAGCTGAAGGATCCAGATATCAAGAGAATTAAAAGCTTTAGTTCCAAGGACTCTTTTTCTCATGTACTGCTGCCCTTTCCTGGAAATCTGGTGTAGGTGGTAGTTATAGGACAGAGTTCAAGGCCAGGGCCACAGCAGTTAAAAAGAAAAAAAAAAAAAAAAAAAGCACATATGCAGGAAGGTCAGAAGACTCATTTTTCGTCTGAAAAAGCAAAATAAGTTGTTTGCATGGCAAATTAACATCACTATTCCAGGGAAAGTCTTAGAACAAACAATCCAGAAACAAGTGGCAAATTATTTGGTGCTCATTAGTTGTTCTGTTGCTGAGGGCTGGTGGCAGGGTTGGGATTCTGCAGTGACACATCCCTGCCCCTCCCAGGGTCCCAGAGACTCATTTTTCGTCTGAAAAAGCAAAATAAGTTGTTTGCATGGCAAATTAACATCACTATTCCAGGGAAAGTCTTAGAACAAACAATCCAGAAACAAGTGGCAAATTATTTGGTGCTCATTAGTTGTTCTGTTGCTGAGGGCTGGTGGCAGGGTTGGGATTCTGCAGTGACACATCCCTGCCCCTCCCAGGGTCCCAGAGCCTGGAGAGACTTAAGGACCATTCTGTGGTATGATATGACCCGTCAGACAAGGGCATCCAGGGAACGTGGCAAGGGTCCCTCTCTCTGATTCACCCACCCTTACTGTGCTTTGTGTCCACTTTGGAAGTCCCAGCATTAAGGAACATAAGCAGTGGGTGCATGGGTTGAAAGCACACAGCCCAGCCAACTTTCACCCCGAGCATTGGGGAAGAACATTGTCGTGGTAGGAGAAGAGAATAATGGGTTCACTCCACTCCAGTCAAATAAACATAAAATGGATTAACAAGAAAAAAAAAAAATCATGCTCTATCCAAAAATCTGTCCACCCAGATAGTCAAAAATAGATACATCTGTAAGAAAAATCTGCATAAATTAATTCCTTTAAACTTTATTTATTCACCTAATTTCCATATATTAATGCAAGACACAGATTAAAATTAAATATTAAAAACAGGCACCATCTAGCTCATAATGCACTCATCAGAGGCTACCACACTGGAAATCTAATTATTTGATCTGATATTTACTGTCATGTTGTATTTCTAAATGCCATGTCTATACTATAATTTATTATTTCAGTTTTATAAGTCATCTATGGAAAATGAATACTTAATGCTTATAATCATCTTCCCATGACAGTTTCTTTCTCTAGTATTGTAAAACTTGGAATTCACAGCATTATGTAACATAACTTTCGGTCAAAGCTGAGCCATGTAATACACCATTTATACTTTCCTATCTTGTACAATCATGTTTAGAGAGTTAAGAGTTGCATCTTTTTTTTTAAGTCTCCTCTATTCTTATGACTAAAGCATACCCAGGCTCTCTGATACAACTGTAAAAAGAAAAAAACAACTTTAAATGGGAGGTATTTAAGCTAAGGACATGTTTCATGGAGCCCTGTCTTGTCCCAATCAGAACGGTCACTTCCTAGCATGACACATAGTCATCAGAATGAGATCTACTTAGGTCCTCACCTGTTTGATTCTCTAACTCCTGAATCCTTTATTTGATTCTTTCCCTATTTTCTCCCCTGTTTTGGAAGACTGTCTCCTCCCTAAATAGTTATGTTAGAAGGAAATTTTTCTTAGTCTTTGCATTTCCAAAAATTTCTCTATTCTACCAAAACCTGTGATTGAGAACTGGGCTGTAAGAGGAATTCTGTGTTAGAAACCATTTTTTTTCTGAATTCTAATGTATCAGTATTAAAAGTATTTATTCTACTGTGTTCTAGATCTCGCTGTTATAACCAGCTGTTGATTCTCATTCCTCTGTGATTTTTTTTTTTTTTTTTTTTTTTTTTTTTCTTTTCATCACCTCTAAAGTTTCAGTGGCCTGAAACCTTAGGGTGATACGATTTGGTATAACTCTTTTTCACTTACTTGCTGGATACTTGGCACATAACTCTTTCAAACAGGAACTTCATATCCTTCGTTTCTGGCAATTTTTATTATAGAGTTTCTTTCATAATGTTCTTCTCTACTATTTTCTTCATTTTTCTTTCTAGAACTCGAATTTAACTAAAACTCTAATTTCCTTGTTTCTCTTTATATTTTGGTTATCTATTATCTTTTGCTCTACTTTCTGGGCAATATTTTTAACAGTTCTTCCACATTTTACTGAATTTTTATTTCTGTCATGTTTTTAATTACAAAACCTCTTTTCTGTTCCTAGGAATTTTCTTTGTATATAATATCCTGATCCTGTTTGACGACAACCTGTTTCATAACATCCTGATCCATGTTGGCTAGGTGGATCCCAAATATAGGTTACATTAATTACCACATAAGTAGACTTTAAACAGTATAGTCTCAAATCATACACAGCAAAATTAACATAAGTAAAAGGAGAAATACATACATTTAAAATCATAGTTGGAGATTTTAATATATCTTTCCCAATGATTGAACAAATGGACAAAAACACATAAGTAAATATCTATACAACACAACCTATAGATTGTGATCTATACATAGATCTATACAACACAATTGTCAGATAATGATCTGTATATGTAAATTTATATATATGTATATGTAAAATATGTACTATTTTATGTATGTACTGTACCTGACAACCACCATTTGTAAAATACTTATGGAACATTTACCAATGTAGAGAAACTCTTCTAAATACCAATAAAAATTTGTCCTTGCAAGTCTAGTTTAAGTGCCTCCAAAATGAACTAGCAGGCAAGGAGAAGTCTAGGTAGCACAGAATAGCCACCTGGATGAGAACAGAGGACAACTGTCAGACCCATATAAGACTCATGAACTGCCAGACATGTGAGCATGCCATCTTCGATGTTGCATCTAAATAGAGGCCCTGGGTAACTGAAGCCCAGCCATCGTCAAAAGGGCCACCACCCAACTTAGGCCAGGCAGTCTGCAGTATCTTGAGAGACAATAAAATGGCTGGTGTTTTAAGACACTAAGTTTTAAGGAAATCTTTAAACATCAATAGATAACCGAAACATTTCTCAGTAACAATAACAAATATAGAAGACAATGAAAAAATATCTTTAAAATGCTGAGAGAAAATAATGCTCAAACCAGAATTCTTATCTAGAGTAAGACCAGAAGTATATTTTTAGACAGACAAATGGCGATCATTTATTACTTATACACTAAAAGGAATACTAAAGAATATATAGGTACAAGAAGTAAATGTAAGCAATGAAATTTATAATTTATTAGTAGATGTACATAAGCACTGACCTGGTTAAAAATAAAACTATGGTATTAAGTATTTTCTTGTGAGGTCAACCAACTACTGTAATTTATACTTTGATGTTTTAAACTGATACTTAAAGTAACATTCACATACAGAAAATGACCTAAAGAACAGCCAATGTAAATGAAAGGTCTCCAAGAGGTTAATACTAATTATTTATCAATTCTGTCCCTTTTCTTCCCCACATAGTTCTCCCAGCCCTCTACACCGAGAAGGTATTAGCCCCAGCCATGAAGTGATAAAGAAGGAATATTTATAAGAAGAAAATCAAAGAGGACAGTCAGGCAAAAGAACCTGTTCTTGGCATATAGTTACACTGCTTCTTTCTTTCCTGCTTTTACTTTGACCTTTTGTCTTTCTTGTCAGAGTCAGAGATCCTGATCTAGACATGCAATGTGAATGACAATTTTTAACCTTGAGGACCAAGTCATAAACAAAAATCACTCCATACAAGACTTTTTAAGCAAAGAACTCCTTATAAGTATAAAAATTACTAATTTTCTTCTCATATTAGTCTTAAAATACCAAGCTTCAACATGCCTACTTAAAATTGTCAGAATCCCAAATATAAAGAGTAGAATAAAGTTCAGAACTTCAACCTTCAATCAACATAGAACTCACATTAGAAAGTGATGAATCGTTTTAAAGAAAACTAAGTATTACTTACTTTAACAGCAAATTTCTTAGATGCCATTGTTTATTGATTTCCACAGCAACTATAGGACCTTTAAGAGAAGGAAAAAAAGTTATAACCTATGTATATCAAAAATCTCCTTTTATTTGGACATTACATAGGAAAAAATTGGCTAAATAATAAAACTTCAGTATGAATTTGTGACCTGAATATTCACCTGTAATAGTCTTAACCAAAATATTATATTGAATCAGTGGCTTAAAAACTACTCACAAGGAAAAGCAAAGAGCCAGAAAGCTTCCTTAGAATAGACTACCAAAGGTTAAAATCAGTTAAAATCCACTGTATTTGTATGTATCAGAAAAAACAACCAGAAAGTAAAATGAAGAAAACAACCCCGTTTATAACATCAAGAAAAAGAAGAGTCAGACATGGTGGCACATACCTCCTATTTTAGCTACTCAGGAGGTAGAGGCAGAGGATCCTTAAACTGGGAGTTCAGCCTGGGCAACTTAGTGAAATCCTGTCTTGAAATACAAAACAAAAAGGGACAGGAATGATTCAGTGGTAGAACATGTTCCTAACATATGGGAGGCCCAGGCCCGGGGTTCAATGCCCAATCCCACAAACAAAACAAAACAAATCACACAAACTTGGAAATAAATATAGCAAAAGAAATGTTAAGATTGTAAATCAAAAACTATAAAGAAATTAAAGACTTAGGTAAAGGGGAATATATGTCAGTTTCATGAATTGGAATGATTTAATACTGTTAACACAGCATTACTCCCCAAACTGATCTACAAGCTGAACACAATCCATTATCAAATCCCAGCTCAAGCTTCATCTAAAATATATATGAAAATGGAAAGGATCTAGACTAGCCAAAACAATCTTGAGGGAAAAAACAAACAAACCAACAAAAAAAACAAAACAAAACACAAAGCACCTAAAAAGCTCAGACTTCCCCATATAAAAACTTAATACAAAGATGAACAATTCAAATCAATGTGGCACTACCGTAAGAATGGACATACAGATCACCAACAGAATAAAATTAGAAATCCAAAAATAGATTCTTATTAATGGCCAACTGGTTTTCAGCAAGAGTGTCAAGCCAATTTGATGGGAAAATAGTCATTTCAACAAAAGTACAGGGACAAATGGATATCTACATGTAACATATTAAAATTGGCCCCTTCTATCACACTAGATAAGCAAATTAAATAAAAAATGGTTTAAAGACCTAAGTATAAGAGGTGAAACTATAAAACTCTTAGAAAACAACATAATGTAACTTTTTATAACCTTGTATTAGGCAGCAGTATCTTAGATGATACCCAACCACAAATGACAAAAGAAAAAAGTAAATTAGATTTCAGTAAAATAAGAACCCTTTGTACTTCAAATCAAGAAAGCAGAAAAGACAATGCACAAAATAGAACTCAAAAAATCTGCAAATCATCATCTGATTAAAAAAAAAAAATCTTGTGTCCAGGACATATGAAAAAACTCTTACAACTCAATAAAAGGACAAACAACCCAATTTAAACGTGGGCAAAGAATCTGACTAGGGATTTTTTTCAAAGACATAAAAATGGGCAATAAGCACATGAAAAAATGTGTAACATCAGTAATCATCAAGGAAATGCAAAGGAAAATCACAATAAAATACCCCTTTATACCCACTAAGCTGTGTAAAATAAAAAAACAGGTACTGGCAGAGATATGTGTAAGTGGGAACTCGCACACATTGGTGGTGGGAATATAAAATGTTGCAGCCATTTGGTCAATACTTTGGCAGGACTTCAAAAGTCAGAGTTATCATATGACCCAACATTTCCATTTTTAGGTATCTACCCAAGAAAAACAAAAACATTATGCCCAAACAAAGCCTTATACAGGTTGTGTTCACAGCAGCGTTACTCACAACCAAAAAATGCCCATCAACTGATGAATGGATAAACAAAACATGATATTACCCATAGCAGAATATCATAAAAAGTTAATATTCTTTTTTACTATGCTCAACTAGAGAATCACTTTTATGGAAAACAACAGGCATAATGTAAGCTGGGGGCCACTTACTGAAAAAAGAATATACTTGCAAACATCACAACTCAGACTTTCCCCAGCCCACACTGCCTCTGTACCCTCCCTGCCTAGGCTCTCCAGAGGGGGAGAATGAAACCTCCCCACCATTCAGGATACTGGACTAATGTAAAGAGAAAAAATACTGACATCAGGGGTTCCCCAAGGAAACAGTCTACACAGACGGCTCTAAAGTAAAGTTCACACCTATGTGCAGAAATGTGTCATCATTTTAATGCCCCACTCTCAAATATAAGTAAATGACCAGAAATCACCTAAGACAAGACTATCATGAAAGAAAACCAACCAAACAGAAAAAACTACTTGGCTAACACAGAGACTGTGGAGGCAAAAAGAAACATCAAAAACAAAACAAAACGAAATGAAAAAAACTATTATTAGGAAAATTTGAAATACAACATCCATGAAGTGAAAAATAACTTGAAAAAAGGCGACTTAGAAAACAACAAATTAAAGGTATCATAGAGGAAATGAAAAATGTACTGGAAAAGTTGGAAGATAAAGTTGGGTAAATCAAAAACTTGAGCAAAACAAAACGATGAAAAATAAGAGAATATAAGTTAAACAACAGTTTAGGAGGACTAGCACATTAAAAATCAGGACAGGGTTGGGGATTTAACTCAGTGGTGCTGCTGCCTGCCTCGCAAGTGCAAGGTCCTAAGTTTGATCCCTGATACAAAAAAAAAAAAAAAAAAAAAAAGACAAAAATAGACCCATAAATTAGGCATAATTATAGTGTAATTTTAAGCACTAGGAACAGAAATAATCTTTTCAAAAGTTGGAGGGTGGGGGACATGAGGAACAGACTTCAGAGGATCTGGTATCAGAACTCTGGAAGTTAAAGAATTATCTTCAAAATTCTGAGAAAATTGTTTCTAGCCTCTAACTTCATTTAAACATAAAGGAAAGAACCACTTTAAGACACTCAAGGTTTGAAAAAAATGTCTTATGCTTCCTTCTCAGGAAGCTACTAAAGATATGCTTCTCCAAAATGAGGAAATTAACCAAGAAAGAGGAAGATGCAGGAAACAGGAAGACTGAGTTAGAAGAGCAAAGAAAATCCGAGGATCCTGAAGAAGATCCCTGCACCATAGTTGTGGGCATAAGAGGTACCACCAAGCCCAGAAAAGTGGCACATCCAGCAAGGTCTGCATGTTGACAAATTTCAGACAAGGGTGAACAACAGGCGATTGAGTTAGGACAGGTAAGATGAAAGCTAAGCAACTAAGCAATAACAAGGCAATTATTGATTTCAGGATAAACAAGGTCTGTGCAAAAGACAAAAAAAGGGCAGAAAGCAGTTAACAACATAGTTCAGTTATGACTAGCATTTATACTCAGGATTCAGTAAGCACTGAATCTTGACCTAAATATATGTTTGCAATATTAGAAAGATGGGGAGTATGAGTGCATATGTCAATGTAAGTGGTGGTAGCATACTAATTAAAGGGAACAAAAAGCTCTAATGTTCCATGAAATGTTCCAGAAGCAGTGTCTATGATCAGCAATAATAACAACAATCACAATAGTTGCAATGAAGCAGAATCTGGCAAGTATTTTAGATGTATATACTATTTTTCTACCTTTTTATTGGGGACTGAAGCCAGGGACTCACACTGAGCTACAACTCCAGCCCATTTTAAAATTTTTAGCGAGACAGGGTCTCACTAAGTTGCTAAATTGCCCACACTAGGCTAAAAGTTGTGATTCTCTTGCCTCAGCCTCCTGGAGTGCTGGGATTACTGGCATGTACCACCATGTTTGGCTATGGACTCAGTGTTTAGGTGGCAAACTCTGCCCAACCTGAAGACCCCAGAAAGAAAAGTGACTGAGGAAGGAAGGGGAGGGGAGGCTGTCCTTGTTCATGGGCCCTATGGGTGGAACTTTCTGCCTGATGAGGTCTGAGGCAGAAACTTTCAGATCAGCACTGTCCTACGGAAATATAACACAAGCCAAACATAAATTTAAATTTGCTAGTAGCTACGTTTAATAAGATGAACAGAAGTAAGCAAAACTGATTTCAATACTATACTTTAACTCGACATATCTAACACATGAGCACTTCAACACATTAATATAAAATATGTACATTCTATTTTAACTTAGTATTGAAATGGGCATTTTATTTATATCTCCAGCTTATCTCAACGTGGACTAGCCACCCATCAAGTGCCCTGCAGACCTCACAGTTAATGGCTACCATGTGACAAACAGCACATTTTGAGAGTAGTTGGGGTTTTTAAGGAAGAAAAGAACTTATTTGTGTGTCCTGAATTCCTTACTTATAAAACAGGGAAAATAATGCCTAACTCAAAATTACTGAAAGGACTAAATAAGATGACCTAAAGGACTATAGATGTAGCACTTGCCTAGCAAGTGTGAAGTCCTTGGTTTGATTCTCCAGACTGCCCCTCTCAAAACAGGAAATCACCCAATATAATGACTTATAAGGACTAGACCTATTATAAGCATTATTATAATAATTACTATTACTTAGTCAATGTGATTTTTCTAAATATCTGATGATTTAAAAAACTCTGATAGTCTTTAATCCCAATTTTTAAAATGAGAAAAATCTTTATTCAAACTCTAAATTATTTGTCTCCATTCTTTGAGTAAAAAAGTTTATAATTTAGAAAAAAATTATAATATGTCCATCTTCATCTCAGCAAGCCCATTTAGATACAGGTGTAAATGGGGGGGTTCCCCTAAAAAATCAAAGATGTGTTCATAAAGGCTGTCCTGAAAACATTAGGTACAACATTAACATTATACTGCTTAAGCCTCATAAATATAAAAATAGCTGCTGTAAGTCAAACTTCAACAACTTTGCTAAAAATGTAGGAAGTCCTTCAGTGAGTGTTCTTAAAGCACACTCGGGTAGACCAGCCCAATGGAGACAAGGGGGAAAGTGCTCTGCAAGTACACAACCAAAGGAGAAGCATAGGTAGTCTAATTTTTTAGAATTACACACTGGTT